CCAATGGGACTTTACATTTGAAACAGAAAGTATCCTAGATGCACAGTTATAAACAATGCATATTTTATGGATGTAGATGTTTATGGGTTTTCTTTTCCATTTTCATGTATGAAATATATAATTATAAATTATATCAAAAATGCGTCTTTTTAGGTTTTAAGTACAGTGTTATTTACTTAAGGTTAATTTTGTGATTTGTTGTTAGTGCAGAACACACTTTTTTATTTTTATAAAATTAGGATGATAAAATGATACATTAATATAGTGATTTATACAGCTTAAATTGTGAATTACACAAACTTATTTATTTTAATTCGTATATTTCATTATTGTCTCCTTTATCCCAAACAAAGGAAAATCAGTTTATATGCTCTTATGTGTATATTTCCATGCGTACTCAGCTTGTGTGTTTATATCGTTCTCTATGTTTCTACTCGAAATTTACAGGAATTAAAAATTGTAGGCGAAGTAGTACATTATCCAATATTTTTTTTTTTTTTTTTTTGCATTTCAGAGAAGCTCGCAGTATGTTTATTTCCCAAAATAATCTCTATACTAAGTTGATTAAAACATTTCTGATTTTTCAGTTTGATGAATCTTGAAATAAACATTTAATTGTATTTACGAATGTGAACTCGATAATCCCTTTAATCTCATCTAGATATTTGTTAAAAGTATTTAGAAGATTTTTAAAACTTTGCTTTGTGATATCAATATATATACATTCTATCGCGCTTATTTTGTGATGTTCAGTTTTATTTCTGAGTTTTAGTCAGGAATATACAATTAAAAATTGTAGCTACATACGTAAGTTAAATAGATACGAGAATATTTTGCGCTTTAAAAATTAGCGAAAACGGAAGACAAAGGAAAAATTAGTACAGTGAAGGAAAGTTCATTATGGTATCTAAGAAATGCATTCAGGTTTATCAAAGAATCTTAACTGTTATATTTTATTATTTTTGGATAAAAGTATTATCTGCTATTTTTCATTTTACAAATTCTATCAGAAATATACCCTCGAAAAGAGCGTTGTTTTCTTGATGCTTTTGTTCAATAATTTGGAATATTGGTGAAGTCTTCTGTTTTGTTTTCAGAAACCAAAGTTGAATGTTTCCAGAAAGGCTGCTGAAGTCAGATTGCTGTATTGAGGATTGTAAGGTAACCTAATTTATATACACCTAACAGAGTATTTCCGTTTATGATTGTATTTTCTAACTTTTCGTAAATATCCAGAAGTCTAATACCATGCTAGTAGACTTCTGGATACTATTGTATTAGATATCTGAATACGACTGTATTAGACTTCTGGATAGGATTGTATCAGACTTAGGATAGATTTTTTAGCGACAGATAATTTTTATGAAAATTTTGCTATTGAAATTAGTTTTCTAATATTTGAATTAAACATGTGCCATCTTGCAATTTTCAAAATTGACCCCACTATTTTATTAGACTAATACGATTGTATTAGACGTATGCTAAATGTTTTAACGACGGATATTTTTTATAAAAAATTTGGTATTGAAATTAGTTTTCTAATTTTTGCATTAAACATGTCCATGTTCTTATTTAACTCAACACTAAACCTCACGATGTCGAAAAGACTTTACTGATATATTTTAATACATATATTCTTTACATTTAATAAAAACTTATTAGTTTTTTTAAAATTGTTTCGTCGAGCCTAATTAAAAGCACAAGAGAAATTAAATATTATTCGCAAGTTATTACTATGTATGCATCGCAGATCAAGGGTGCGAAATATCGTTTTGGTTTCAGGATAAATTTTTCTGTATCAGTGTTAAACAGAAATTACGCTATTGCAAATAGATAAGCGTATTTTCCATAATATCTATATCTGATTTTAAACGGTGCGCTAGAGTTTAAATTTTATTTATTATTTTTTTTTATATTATGCACTGTGTAAAGGTAACGAATTTTGTCTATACATAAGACAAACTTCCATGGGGAAGGATTTGCTTTAATTTTCAGGCTGTGTTTTAAATTAATTCGTTCAATATTCTGTCATAAAATGTGTCTTATTCCTTATTCTGTTCCTTGATGTGTTATTCTCGTGAAAATAACATGTCCGTACTGGACGCATGCTTTCAGCAACACGGCATGGTCAATGGCCAAGCTATGCTATTAGAATCTATGGGCGTCTGCCTGATTGCTTGTTTGTTTATGACGTCATCTTCTCCGGAAGCGTAATGGCAAACCGGACATTGAGTTGATCAATGATAACGAATTTCGCTTACTGTGCATGCTCAATGGCGACTATATATAGGTAACATTACACAAGCCGGGTAGCCATGTTAGTTTTACTGTTTACATTTGCAGTATTACGGAAATTTGCTGTGCGCTTATTGCGTGTGCTTCTGTTTCATTTCCTTTTGGTTTATTTTGTTCATAAACATTACATTTAATGTCAGTTTTTTGGCTTTAATTCAGTAATTTAAACTGGACTTATTCCTTAATTTGTTAAAGTATATACGAATAGAGAGTATGGTAAGTATCCAACTGCTGTTATTCCTCAGAATTAAAATCCATAAGCATTCAGCTAACATATATTGTAATGTTTCCTGTTTTGTAATCCTTCTTAAACGAAAATTTGCGTAGTTTACAATCGATAGTTACACTATAAATAATGAAGCAATTTAAACCTAAAAATTCTTAAAACACCGAACTGTTTACGCCCAGATAACACAATATCAACCATACACCGTATTTAGCTTATTTTAAAATTGTGCCAAAGTTGTAATTGCTCTAAATTCTACTCTGGGCATGCGCAGTAAGCTAAATTCGTTTAACATTGTTGAACTCCATGTGCGGTTTGCCACTACGCTCTCCGGGAACGGCGAGGAGTTGAGTTTCAAGAGAGAAACCCCCAGATTCCAAAAATTCGTGAGAAAGCCATTTCTGCCATTCTCGTCTTCGTGCGACCCTAAGCAGTCTAGATACTAATTAAGAACTCTCAAAATGCAAATTTCACATTTGTTTCGAAAAGTGGCAAAAGTCTGGCTCGTTGGGGATAAAAATATTATTTATTTCGGAAAATATTGTCACTATTCTCTTTCAAATAGTGGAGTTTGTTAATAATTTAAAAAAAAAATTACAAAGTATGAAACGAAGATAGCATTGTCAAACATTAAAGATATTAAAGATTATTATTGTTGTAATTGCTCTAAATTCTAGTCTGGGCACGCGCAGTAAACTAAATTCGTTTAGATAGATATTAAAGATTATTATTGTTATATAACGTCCTATTTTGACTTTGAATAACTCACGCGATTGCATGTGACGTCACTGTATGTCAAAAATGTTCCCTTAAATTCAAGATTTTAAATAATTAACTGCTGTTGGATTTTTTTTTTCAGGCTAGGAAAATTGACAAGATGTATTACTGCTACATTAAGTATTTTATTGATACTGAGAAAAAAATGGTTATAATACATTAAATTTAAATCATGACGCCATACGTATACGTACTTTGAAGTGGCAAACGTTTGCATTTCCTGGCTTTTCAGGAAATAAATTATTTAGGAATTTGTTGTTCCTTAGAAACAATGAACTAATTTTATTCATACTGAAATGTTTTTGTATATTTTTAGAGGTACATAGAACTTACTAATTTCGCTTTGGCTCCAGCCCGCTCATCTGCTAGTTATAGTATACAATTATTGTTGCAGATCCTGTTCATTCTTTGTATTTAGGATAATGTATTAAATGCTCTGAGTTCACAGAGTACAAAAATTAAAACCAAGAAAATTAAAATATAAGTATAAGATTAAAAAACGAAAAGATCATATCTTACTGACAGGAAGATACAAGTTAAAAAAGTCAAAAATATAGTTAAAAAATTAGAAAACAATTTTTACAATTAAAATTGGAGTTTCTACGCAAAAACAAGCAATCCGGCCTGCAGGCAAGAAGGCAGATGTTTCGGTACATAAAACTAAATTTTCGTTTTAGACCCACTCGGAAAAAGGACACTTTGAACGTGCAGAATGACTTAACTCACTATTCTGCTAAATTTCAAATATAAACAAATATAGCTGCTATGGTAAAAAATTATTCTCAGCCGCACTCAAACAACTTTTAAATTGTTGAAAGTTCTACAAATATTGCATGCAGATTAACTAAGGGCATAAAAGCCTTAACCGGATAACCAGAACAACACAATTCAATAATTTTTAAAGCCAAAATTGCACAATTTACCAAAATATAAGACTAAAACACTGAGCCGACTCATTGAGAATAAGTATATATATATATATATATATATATATATAATATATAATATATAAGTATATACTTTTGCAACGAAAAAGCCAGGTGCACAACTATATATTATAGCAGTCTTATGTACAACATTTCAACGTTCTGAGAGTTCTCGGTTTTGAGTTATGCGAGATACTTACGTACGTACGTACGTACGGACGCTACAAAAAAAAAAAAAAAAAAATCCCTTTTGCATTAATTTCAATTAGTTTCATAATTCATTTGGGGGGAAAGAGTCTTTAATTATGCCTGTCGTTATGTACAAATGTCACGCAAGAACATCCTTAAATTGTATTTGATAGCGGTCAATATAGATATTTTTATTGAAATATGGTAGCCAGAATTTATCGAGATTACAATACTTCCGTTGCTTCATGCAAGGCAGTAGAAATACAGATCTCTATGTGATAAATGCGCTACTTCGCACCTTCAAAAAGTGTTATTATGCAGTATGCTATTATAGCAATTAGTAAGCAACTATATATTATAGCAGTCTTATATACAACATTTCAACGTTCTGAGAGTTCTCGGTTTTGAGTTATGCGAGATACTTACGTACGTACGTACGGACGCTACGAAAAAAAATCCGTTTTGCATTAATTTCAATTAGTTTCATAATTCATTTGGGGGGAAAGAGTCTTTAATTATGTCTGTCGTTATGTACAAATGGCACTTAGTAAGCAATGGGTTTTAATAGTCAAGAGAACGCTTCATACCGTGGTTCAAAAGACGGATTAAAAGGGTGTCTGTCCTTACTCCAAGATATAGTTAATGGTTTCTCTCCAATTGCTTTGCATGTCAGCGTTGCACTTTGACCTCTTGTAAGAGTCAGAGCTTTGAACTTCTCTGCAAAATGGGCTCCAACTGAAAAGAGAAAAATACGCCAGTTCAAGCAACTGGAAAACTAGTCAATCATTTTAGATAAATTCTTAACATAATAAATAATGTGATAATATATTAAAATGTGGAAGCATATTCAAGTAGGTACATATTTAGATATGTTTCTAAAATTAACAAAAACTAAACACATATAGTAGAATAGCATAGAATATGGTTAAGTTAGCGCATCCGTTATTGCACTGTTAAGTTAATGTTTCATTCATTTTGCAGTGTAAACTACATATTGCTTTGTGGAATACATACCGCTAACGATATGGCCGTTACCAGGGGGAAATTGTTATTTTGCTTTGGAAAAATAAGCACATGCCAATATCACCATATGTGAAAAATAATTAACCGTTTCTCCTTGGTGCTTATAATTTTAAAATTAAGGGGCTACAGCATTTTAGTAAAATGCAAATACTAATAAAATTACACAATTAGTATTTTCTTCTGATTTTCCATTTAAAAATTCAGTCTAAGTTGCATTTTATGCATGTTATACACATATACAAAAATTAAAAAAAAAAAAAAAAAAAAAAAAAAAAAAAAAAAAAAACCTGAAATGTTTCAGATTTTAACGGTTGCGCAATACTCCTGCTAACCATTTCTTTTGTCTTTTGATTATTAACTTTGAGTTTGAGTTTTCTTAGTAAGACTACGTGTTAACTTTATTTATTAAATATCATGGACTCTGAAGTTTCGTAATATAAAATTCAATTCATCAGCAAAATCCAAAAATATTAAAAAATAGCATATCTTTAGAGTTTTCGATTGTCTTGCGCTGTGGAGTTAGAAATGCTTTTTATCGTGACATAATGCCACTGCTTGCTAAGAAATAGTCTGGTTTGTTAATCAAAAATTCATTAAAGTTTAGCAACGCATGAAATAAATAATAACAGAGTATATAACGCCACTTTATGAAAATACTAAATAAATTTATTAGACAGACCATGGATTGTATGAATTGTGATCATCTAAATCAATCCGATTCAAGAGTAAGAAATGAATATTCTTAAGAACTGCATCTATTGCTTTCAAATAATATCAGGTGTTTAATTCCCAGGACAGTTATATACCTCTATGAATGACATTGCTCTCTGAAAATAATAAATACCCAACGACCATATGTGATATGTACATATTTTTTTCGCTCCTTCTGTAACAAAAAATAAATACGTGTATTTGCAACAAACCTTTAATTCTCAATTTTAATTTAAATATTTCCTATTCTCAACGTAAAAATGGTAAGTGCTTAAAATAAATTGCCCTGAACTGCGTCATTTCGAGTTTAATTCATATTATATAACCCTTGCATAATGCTCATGATGTACATATTTCCATAACATTTCAAGCAATAACGATTCTAAATTTCGAAACCGAAACTTAATTTTAACAAGCAGGGAATAAACTGAGCTAAAACTGACTCCTTCTGAAGAAAATGTTCATCTTAGAGCACGTTGTATTTCTGCTCTGCCTTGATGCTCTGTGAACCCATCGCCGTTTCCTTTTTTTCATTAATTGCATCGTCTTGATTGTGTGAAAGCGACGAAAATGTGATCAAAAGGAGGACCCAGTAGTTAATGTATTTCTCACGAAATAATGGGTTCAGTTGTCCTCAAGGACTGCTGTTATCTCGATGTAGTAACGTTGCTGTATGTATATTTTATAAAGTATTTATCCCTCTATCTTAGTATGCCTTCGTAGTGTAATGGTCTGCACACTGGGCGTGTATTACAGAGGTCCGCGGTTCGATTTCCGGTGAGGGCGTTGCTCATTTTTCATCACTCCTGCATTAAAAATAACGTAATGTCTCTACAATGTCATTAACTTGTATCTGGTTGTCTGGAAGTCATACGAAATGTTCTTCAAACGTCCTTTCTATATATATTAAGAACAGTGAGCAGTTAATAGTTTATTACCCATTTTGTTCGATAAATGTTTGCTTTCTCAATGCACAGTACTTAGCTTTATCGTGGAAGTTGAACAAGGTGCTGACTTATGGCCTCATTTGAAGTGAATGGTATAATATGAAAGAACTTTTGAAGAGAGCGAAACATGTGAAACTCTGGGGGCACAAGTTCAGGCGATTGTCGTGCCAACACTTTTTATATAAACTACAATAAGTTTTGTCAGGTGATCAAACTTGTGTGTGGTCTTATGTTATCGGGTTGGAAGGCAGTTCCTATACGATTAAAGAGCTCTTGAATTTTCTTGAAAATGGATTCGTTGAAACTACCACAGCACACATTCGAACTGATTTGTTGGTTTTCTGGTAGGAGCTTGGAAACAATACCACAGACATGTTTGACCACCTGACAAAAATTATTGGAGTTTGGATGAAACGTATTGACACCCGTATCATATTTGCCTGATCTTATGCCCTCAGATTTTCGATTTTTTTTTCTCTCTTCAAAATTTTTCACACGATTTAACATTCAATTCAGATGGAGCCGTAAATATATAAATGTTATTATATATATGTTATTTATATAAATACATGAACTTCAAAAACATAGAATAAAAGTGTCATGACATTTTCAAACCACCTAATAAATCATCATTACACACATGGGCACACACACACACTCACACACTGTATACATATATATGTGTATAATTATCCAGTGATTGGCAGTAGCCATTACAGACGTTGGTCATTGCTAAAGCTTGAAGCGGTGGTGACGTTATTATGGAGACAGCTAACAGGTGACCGATCGTTACCGCCTGCAAAAGAAAGAAACTTTAAGTCCATGCTTTCTCCGAGATTCAAACCCGGGCGCTTTAGCAATCAGAGTGACTAACCACTTGCATGTATTAATATATATACTATACTATATATGTATATATGTATGTGTGTTTGAGTGTGTGAATACACGTGTATTTGTATATATCTGAATGTGCAAAACAGAGACTAAGTAGGTATATATATATATGTATACTATATAAGTATATATATATATATATATATATATATATGAGTACCAGTAGCACTAAATATTAACAGTAGTAACTAAACTAGATATACAAAATATTTTCATTTAAAAAATATTGCACATTTTCCCTTAACCTCAAAAGTGCTCTTTTTAATAGGAAACATTCTAACACCTTTAAAAGAAAACAGCTATTTCCTTTTCCTTCTGGATAAACCATAGAAACGAAAGCTTCTTTTTTTCTTAACAATGCTTCTGCGTTTTGTCGGCTTACGCGGGGAGCAATATCTCGTTCAACACATATGGTGGCATCCAACGGAAATCGATACAAGAATTGTATAAAAATAATTTCCTAGTTGCATGAAATGGAGCCGGGGCAGTTTGGAAAAACTTTTTACCATCGGTGGTGTGGTTATCGGATACTTTCTCAGGCTTTTACACGTTTTAACAGTAACTATAGCAAATTCTTTTACTCAAAAGCGCCTGCTTCACTTACTTATTTTCTTTTGTGTTTTGCATAGGCTCAACTTCAGGAAAGAATAATGAATTACGACCTTTTTTTGTCAACTAAATTTAACCTGTTGCTTTTTGCAAAGAAATGTAAGTTCTACAAAATATTTTATTTCAGGATGTGATAATTAATACCATTTTAAACACATTATATTTATGTTAATTATTATGTTGCTAAAATTTCTTTTCTTATATAATTTTATATAATGGTTAAGGGGGTTGTATACCTTCGAACGTTTTTTTAATTTTGTACATTTACTTTGGCTTTAAGAAGATTAATGATGAAAAAAATGAAGAAGCTGAGTTATTTAATGACCATTAATTTTGCATTTTTGGAGTAAAGTAATAAAACAAGCAAAACAACAGCAATATTTACAATACATTAGAAACACTGTATTAAAAAAATATAATATATTTTCATATTTTGTAAAATGCAAATCCATCATAATGATATTCTCAAGGAGACAGACTATTATTTTAAAGCTAGGAAGTTATTCAATTTTTTTTTAAGCTAAAATGTGTAATATAACAAAGAAAAGCACATTTTCTCATTAAAATTCTTGTTTAACCCATAATAACTCTATAAAAATGCATTTGCCAATTAGTAAATATTCTGTCTCCTTACATGAAGTATTCTAAACATTTATACCAGACTGCATAAGATTTCAATCATAATTTTTAAAGATATTGTGTTTCATCTTAGCATTAAAACACGAAAAATGGAAAAAAAAAAAACTCATTTAAAGAATTCAAACGCTCGATTACATACTTTTACTCAGTTTGTAAACTTAAAATTCCCTTAATTTATGTCTAATTTCTTCTTGTTTTTCAGAATGACCTTTTTTTTTTTTTTTTTTTTTTTTGGAGCTTTTAAAATTTTTCTCTGTTTTTTAAAGCCAAATCAGAGAATATCGTTTTGCATTGTCGATATGGTTAACATCAAACATTTCGTACTCGTTTGCAGTGTAGTAACCAATATCTATCTATATCCTATAAAAGGTAATGAATATTACTCACTAATAGATAAAAATACGCTTCTCAGCAATGTAAACACAGAATCAAAACACGAGCGAAAATGCGTTAGTGAATTCATAACACACAGCTTGAAAATATGCTAAAATTTTGTTTCGTTGCTATCTTAAAAATACTTTTTGGTCTTTAAAATGCAATAAAATAATGTTTTAACGCCCGAAAATAAAAGTGAACAACTTTGACACACCCACTTCGGCTTTTTAAATATTTTCCACTTGTGTACTTCCGGTATGTTTTTCGATGACAAGGTGTATCATAACTCCTGTTTAAATGAACGCAGGAACAAAATTCAAACAGTTTTGGAAACGTAAGAAATCAGACTTTCATTGAGCGCAAGGGCAAAAAAAGATATTTTTGGCAAAATATCGCTTTCTAAGGTATACAGTCCCCAAGTGCTACAGAGTTATTTAATGAGCATACATGTATGTACTGATTAATTTAATAACAATTTATTATTATCAATTTTTATATGACGACCAAAGTGACCCTTTTTAACGTTTTGTGAGTTAC